CCTCATCATCATCATCATCATCATCATCATCATCATCATCATCATCATCATCCGCATCAGCATCATCATCAACATCATCATCATCATCATCAAGAGTATCATCAACATCATCATCCGCAGCATCATCATCAGCATCATCACCATCAACATCAGCATCAGCATCATCATCATCAACAGCAGCATCAACAGCATCATAATGATTCTCATCAGCATCAGCATCACAATCATCATCACCATCATTATCATCAGCATCATTATCACCAGCATCATAATATTCATCATCACCATCACCATCGCCACCACCACCACCACCACTAAGATCACCAGCATCATCATCATCATAATCATCACCACCATCATCATCACCATCATCATCACCACCACTATCACCATTATCATCATCATCAGCAGCATAGGCATCATCATCATCAACAACATCAGCAGCATCACAATCATCATCATCAGCATCGTCATCGTCATCATCATCATCATCATCATCATCATCATCACCATCACCATCACCATCACCATCATCATCATCAGCATCATCATCAATATCAGCATCATCCTCATCATTACCACCACAATCATCATCAGCGGCATCAGCATCAGCATCAGCATCAGCATCAGCACCATCATCATCATCAGCAGCAGCATCAGCATCAGTATCAGCATCAGTATCATCATCATCATCATCATCATCATCATCATCATCATCATCATCATCATCATCAGCAGCAGCAGCAGCAGCAGCAGCAGCAGCAGCAGCGACAGCATCGTTAATATCCTTGCCCTCATCCTCCTCCTTATCCTGGTCCTCGTCGTCCTCATGCTCTTCCTCCTGCTCCTCCTCCTCCTCCTCCTGCTCCTTCTTCTCCTCCTCCTCCTGCACCTCCTCCTTCTCCTCCTCCTCCTCCTCCTCCTCCTCGTCATCTTCACGCTCTTACTCTTCAACTTCCTGTTCCTCCTCCTCCTCATCCTCCTCGTCCGCCGCCTCCTCCTCCTCCTCCTCCTCCTCCTCCTGTTCGCGAACTTCTAGGCCATGGAGTGTGGAGAATCTGAACATCCTCGAACCCCGAGGTGAACCGCATCCGCCAGGAGGTGGGCCGATGGCATGGAGGGCAGCGGGGGAGGACACAGAGGAGAAGGATGCGGCGGACAGGGAAGGAGGAGAGAGCACGAGGAGGAGCAGCAGAGCACAACCACAACGAACGACAGCGACGGCAGGCGGGAGGCCGCGGGAGGCGGCGAACGACGGCGGACGGCCGCCTGAGGCCGAGGGCCACGGAAGGCCGCCGAGGGCCGCGGCGGTGCGGCCTGAGGTGTGGGTCACCAGGTGCCGCAGGGTGATCGGCCGGCGGGCGCGGGCGGGCTTGTGCCTGACGAGGCGGGAGATCGATGGGAGGGTACTCGCTGGGGGGGGGGACGAGGGGGGGGACGACGACGACGACGACGACGACGACGACGACGACGACGACGACGACGACGACGACGACGACGAAGCGGCGCGGATTCGGCGATGCTTCTCCTGTGGACCGGCGCCCCCGACGGCGAGGCCCTCAAAAGCTCCTGGCCCCGGGCAGGGCGGGCCGCCTGGGCCGCGATCGGCGCGGAGTGGGCGGCTGGGGGTCTCGGTCACGCCTCAGGGCTAGCAGAGGAAAAACAAACCTTCTTCTCCTCCTCCTCCTCCTCCTCCTCCTCCTCTCCCTCTTCTTCTTCTCCTCCTCCTCCTCCTCCTCCTCCTCCTCCTCCTCCTCCTCCTCCTCATCATCATCCATCTCCTCCTCCCCCTCCCCCTCCTTCACCTCCTCCTCCTCCTCCTCCTCCTTCTCCTCCTCCTCGAGTCGCCTACGGCCCCGGGGCTCAGGTCGGGCTCAGGTCGGGCAGGTCCCCCCTGCAGGCGGGCTTAGGACGAACAGTTAATTACCCTGCGACGTACCCGTGGGAAAAACACACACACACACACAGTGGGAAAAACACACACGTGGGGAAAAAAACACACGTGCGGGAAAACACACACACACACACGTGTTTGTTTTGTTCCCCACGTGTGTGTGTGTGTGTGTGTGTGTGTGTGTGTGTGTGTGTGTGTGTGTGTGTGTGTGTGTGTGTGTGTGTGTGTGTGTGTGTGTGTGTGTTTTCCACAGACTGGGTGTTTTCCCTTTCTACACACGTGGTGGTTGCATTCGGGACCACCCAATGCTGACGGGCATGCTGAAAAACCCGCGGTGCGGAAGAAGAGCACCCATCAGTGAACTCAGAAGGGCGCAGCAAGAGGAGCAGCGGCAACGCGTAAGACGTACCTCTGCTGGGCCTCCCAGGATCCCCAGAAGCTCCTGGCCCTGGGCAGCGCGGGCCGCCCAGGCCCCGATCGGCGCGGAGTGGGCGGCTGGGGGTCGGCAGGAGGAGGGGGAGGAGGAGGAGGAGGAGGAGGAGGAGGAGGAGGAGGTGGGAGGAGGCAGGGAGGAGGAGGAGGTGGAGGTAGGAGGAGGAGGAGGAAGGAGGAAGGAGGAGGAGGAGGAGGAGGCGGAGGGGATGAAACATAGGAAGCTCCTGGCCCTGGGCGGCGCGGGCCGCCCCGGGCCCCGATCGGCGCGCAGCAGGGCGGCGGGGGGTCGATGTCCCCCCCAAGGCCGAGGTCGGGCACGTCCCCCTGCAGGCGGGCCCTGGACGAAAAGTTAACAATGCCCCAACAATACCCCAACAATGCTCAACAACATCCCCCCAAATGTCCAACAATATTCAACAACGTCCCGATCGGCGCCGAATGGGCGGTTGGGGGTCGATGTCCCCCCAAGGCTGAGGTCGGGCACGTCCCCCTACAGGCGGGCTCTGGACGAAAAGTAGCAATACCCCAAACAAAGATTCAGCAGCATGCCCCAGAATACCACAAAGTGGCATCGTCCCCAGACTAGGTTTGGACTATTTCTGAAGCTTCCTCCTGGAAAGGGACGGGCCCGATTGCACCCTGGGCCAATGCTCCCCCTTTCGTCGCTCCCGAGCGCCGCTTCGAGGCCACACGCATCTGCGCGAACTCGGGGATGTACTTCGCCACCGGGTCGCCGAGCCCCAGCTGAGAGGAGGAGGAGGAGGAGGAGGAGGAGGAGGAGGAGGAGGAGGAGGAGGAGGAGGATCGAGGATCCAGGGTGCTGGATACTTAGATTTTTTTGAGGGTCATCATAATCCTGCGGAGGACTCCAATGGCATCCAGACACGTCCGGAGACCCATACCTCCAGGCATATCGACAAAAACCGCGCCAGAGGCTTCTCGCAAATTCGGCGACTGGGCCCGTTCTCTGGGTCCTGCGGCTGCCAAAAGACGACTCAAGGTGGAGAGGCGGTCCCTCGGAAGGGGTGGTGTGAAGTGCGGCCCACGTCGAGACAGAGTCCGCAGTTCCCGTTCTGTTGGGGCCACCAGGCGCGACAGATTCTCTCCTCCTGCTCTTCCTCCTCCTCCTCCTGCTCCTCCTCCTCCTCCTCCTCCTCCTCCTCCTCCTCCTCCTCCCCCTCATCCTCTCCATCTTCCTCTTCCTCCTCCTCGTTCTCCTCCCCCCCTCCTCCTCCTCCTGCTCCTCCTCCTCCTCCTCCTCCTCCTCCTGCTCCTCCTCCTCCTCCTCCTCCTCTCCTCCTCCTCCTCCTCCGCCTCATCCTCTTCCTCCTCTCCATCTTCCTCCTCCTCCTTTTCCATATTCCTCCTCCTCCTCCTCCTCCTCCTCCTCCTCCTCCTCCTCCTCCTCCTCCTCTCCTCCTCCTCCTCCTCCTCCTCTCCTCCCCTCCTCCTCCTCCTCCTCCCCCCCCTCCTCCCCCTCCTCCTCCTGCTCCTCCTCTCCCTCCTCCTTCTTCCTCCTCCTCCTCCTCCTCCTCCTCCTCCTCCTCCTCCTCCTCCTCCTCCTCCGCCTCATCCTCCTCCACCATCCCCACCAGAATCGGAACCGCAAGTCTGGACGGGCTGTCCCAGGGTGCGCCCCGATCTCCCTCGCAGCGGCGACGCGCCGCGCGGAGCCCTGCGCGCCCTCTGGCACCGAGGCGGGCGTGACTGCTGCCGGACCCGGAACGCCTGCGTCGTGATGTTTGTCGCGTGGACCCGCCGTCCGGGAGGTCTGGGACCCTTCCCGGGGTACAGCGTTCCGTCCAAGCCCCGACTTCGGGTCCCCACCTCTGTGGTTGGTCTCCCTCCCTAAAAAGTGTTGGGCACGCACCCACAAGGAAGGATGCGAACCAGTAGGGCGGGAATCTCCGTCCCAGAACAACAGGACGGATCTGTCCGCTAAAGTGTGGCATAAACAGCGACGGCAAAGTGGGGCGTAGATCGAAGTCAAAGGAGCTTGAGAAGTAGGGCTGGAATTCCGCCCTGCTGCCCAAACCGCCCCAGGAGAAAGGCGGATCTGGAGTCAGGGGGGAGGCGGTTTGGACGGCCCCGGGGCCCGGGGCGAGAAGGCGAAACAGCTGGCAGAAACCGTCCGCCTGAATTTGTTCCGCGACGCGAGGGAGCTTGGGGGGGGGATTCCAGAGGGGGGGGGCAGGAGAGGGGGGGGGAGGGGGGGGGGGGGAGCCAGGGGGGGAAGCCAAGGGGGGGGTGGAGGAGCAAGACGGGAGGAGCCAGGGGGGCGGCAGGGGGGGCAGAGGGGGGGGGAGCAAGGGGGGGGGAGGGAGGGGGCAGGAGGGGGGGGGGCGCGGCGAGGCCGCCCGCGAGCGCGAGCGCGCGCAGGCCGCGCCGCGCCAGCGGCGGCCGACTCCAGGTGCCGCCCCAGGGACCAAGGGCGGAGGAAGAAAGCAAAGTGCTCTGCACGAGGCCCGTACGTAGTGAGTGGAAGCAGTTGCGCCTTGTACTGAGAGGGCATTGGGCGAGGTCCGTTGGACAAGGAATCCAGGGTCTGGAGCCGGTGGAACTCAAACTGAGGCCCGACCATGGATACCACCGCCGCCCTCATCAGAATCTGCTGCTCGAGACATCGGAACGGCGACCCATCACCGCGCCAGATGAGGAAACCTCCAGGGCCCGAAGCCTCCTGGGCACAGACACAGACACAGACACAGACACAGACACAGACACAGACACAGACACACACACACACACACACAGACACAGACACAGACACAGACACAGACACAGACACAGACACATCCGTAGCCATGTTGGCTCAAGCCGTGCCTGGGCGCGCTCGGGCAAGATGGCGCGGGAGAGTCTGCGCGGGGTGGCTGGTGCCCGCTTCGCTGCAGACCGCCTTGTGCAGCGGCTGACGCGTGAGCTGGCAGAGGCCCGGGGCGAGGCCGCCAGGCTCCGCGAGCTGCTCGAGGCGAAGGTCGACGGCGAGGGGGACCCCGAGGTGCTGCGGCGCGAGGCGATCGCGAGGCCTCTCCTGGCGGCCCGCGTCGCCGGCAGACCCGAGGCCCCAGCAGCCAGGCGGCGGCGCAACGTGGCCTGGCACGCCGCTTCCTGCCCGCTGGCCGTAGCGGAGCCGGCCGCATGGCGCAAGGCCGAGCGCGGGCCCCGCCTGGGAGCAGCTCCCAGGCCTGCTGGTGCTGCCCACGGCGGTGCCAGCAGTGAGGGGGCAGCGCGGCTGCAGCTGGAGATACAGGTCGATATTTGCGTCGCCGAGCCCGCCGTGAAGCTCGGGAGACCAGCGGAGCCGAGGGCGACCCTGCGGTCAAGCGCCCAGCCCTTCCGTTCGAGGCGCACGCCGCTGCGGAGCGGGGCCACGCCGTACGTACCCTTCCGCCAGCTGAGCTGCGAGGAGACGGCCGAGGAGGTGCTTGCGGCGCTGGACTGCGGGCCCCTGGCTCCCGTTGACAGGGCTGGGCTTGACCCTCCCCGTGACGGGGCTTGGACGGCAGACGTGGAGCAGGAGGGAGTCGGCGCAGCTGCCCTCCAGGTGCCGTGTCGTGCCGAGTGGCCCCAGGTGGGCGGTGCTGCAGGCGCTGGAGCGCCGCCGCCGCCGCTGGAGCACCTGGGAGGCCCAACTGGAGAGCAGGGCGACAGCAGGCACGGCGAGGGCGAGAGCGCCGAGGGGAGCCAGGACAGCACGGTTTGCTCCGAGACCCTCTCCGCCGCCACCGCCGAGCGCCACGATGCTGTCACGCAATACCTGCTAGATAACGATGCTGCGCTCCTCCGAGGGGGCATCGGAAGCGTCAAGAGCGTTGAGGTCGACGAAGGCTCCGTGGGCGGCGACAGCAGTTCCTACGTCTCCTCCGTGTTTGGGGTCTTCAGGGACTACGGGCCCGACCACGGCCAGTTCCTCATCGACGAGTTCTCCGACGGCAGCGAGCGCGCTGCCGAGTACGACCTCGAGCGTGCCGCATGGCTAGCCCAGGGCTCGCCGAGCTTCGCCGAGCAGTGCGCTCGGCTGGAGCGCAGCAGCCACTTCGAGGATGATTTCGAGTGAGGACTTCTCAGGGTTCTGAGTACGCGCGAGGCTGTTCTTGGCAGAAGCGTCCGCTGGTTGCTTAGTCAGTGTTCTCCTGCTGGGAATGTGATCGCGCGTTGAGGGTGTGAGTGAGTGGCCTTCTGTATTTGCATGCGTACGTGCTTGTTGCAGTCTGTGCCCGCTTGCACCGCAGATGAGTACGCGCGAGGCTGTTCTTGGCAGAAGCGTCCGCTGGTTTGCTTCGTCAGTGTTCTCCTGCTCGGAATGTGATCGCGCGTTGAGGGTGTGAGTGTGTGGCCTTCTGTATTTGCATGCGTACGTGCTTGTTGCAGTCTGTGCCCGCTTGCACCGCAATTTTTCCTCCTGTATGTCCCTTGGTACGGGAGATGCCCTATAGACGGGGGTAGAGCTTCGGACGTGTCGAGCTGTGCCTCGGGGCCGTAGCGCCCTCGAGGCAGGAGTTTTCCGACGTCGTCGAGGCTCTCGGGGCCGAAGCGCCCTCCTCCTGTCTTGGGAAGGCCCCTGTGGGCCAGGGTCCCTCACGAGGGCCTGGGCCCTCAGTGGGCTCCTTTTGCCTTTATAGGCCCCGCGTCAACAGACACAGACACAGACACAGACACAGACACAGACACAGACACAGACACTGACACAGACACAGACACAGGCACACACACACAGACACACACAGACACACACACAGACACACACAGACACACACAGACACACACAGACACACACACAGACACACACCCACACAGACACACACAGACACACAGACACACACACACACAGACACACACAGACACACACACACACACACACACACACACACACACACACACACACACACACACACACACACCGCAACCAGCGCCCCCACCTCCCAACACCACGTCGGCCGCACAGCATCGCCCGCGGCGGCGCAGGACAGCCCTGCAAGCTGCGCGGCGCGGGGTGCGCGGCGCGGAGCGCCCGAGGCCGCGCCCCCGCGCGCGGCGGCGAGGACTGCGCCCGAGGCCTTCTGCGAGGAGCGGGACCCGCGCGCGGGCCCCGCAGGCGCCGCCGCCGCCGCAGGGGGCAGAGGCGCGGGGCTGCGGGGCGCGGACCTCTGCGGCGCGCGGCGGCGCGGCGGCCGTGCGCCCGACGCGCGTGGGGCGCAGGACGTGCGGCGCAGCACGCTGCGCCGACGTTGGGGGCGCATTTTTTTTATCAGCGCGAGAAGGTCGCCTCGTGGCTAGGAAGAAAGAGGAGAGCGGCAGGGGGAGGGAGGGGAAGAGGAGAAGGCAGCAGCAAAAGCAGCAGTGCACGTCCTGCACGAGCACGCGGCACACCGGTCCAGTGCTGCATCGGATTTCCAGGGCGGCGTGGCCCGGAGGCGCCCGCCATGGAGCCCATCCGACGAGATCTCCGAGCGCGCGCGTCGCCCTTGCTCTGGGGCCGGCGGGCACGCAGCAGAAGTGCGAGTCTCGGTGGTGCCGAGCAAGGGTCGTCGCCTCTCGGCGCCTCCCGAGGGGCAGCCTCGTGCTGCGGTGCTGCCACCTCCGCCCGCTCGGCAGGGGGCAGGTCGCGGCCCCAAGGGCGGGCGGGCGGGCTGAACGGGGGGACCCAGTGGCAGAGCAGCGGCGAAGGGCGGACGCGCGCGCGCCGCGCGCATGGCGCGGCGCGGCCGCGCCAGACGAGCGGCTGCGCGCCGGCTGCACGGCGCGGACGTTCCCCTGAAGCAAGCGCGCGCCAGCGACGGCGCGGAGCGTCTTCCTGCGCATGGCGCCGGCCTGCTGCACCCGCCAGAAGGCGGCCTCGGAGAAGCTGCGGGAGGAGTCCTCCTCCGCGCGCGCTCTCCTGCACGCGCGCCTCGGGGGTCGGCGCCCTCGCGAAGGGGGCGCGCCCTCGAGGGGTTCGGCGGCCGCGGGCTCCGCGAGGAGCTGCTGCACGGGGGCGCGTGGCGCGCTGGGCGCCGCCCTCGTGGAGCGCAGCGCCGAACGCCGCCCGCCCAAGAGTGCGCGCGCTGCGCGCCAACGGCGAAGCTGAAGCGTCCTGGCGCGGCATGCGCCGCCTCGCGCTTGCGCAGCAGTGGGCTTCGCCGGCCTCGCCGGGTTCGTCTGGGGGGGCGGCGCGCGAGCCAGCTGCGGGGCGGGGGCGGCGGCGGCGCGCCAGCTGGGGGCGCGGCGCGGGGCCTCGCGGGAGAGGCGGAACGTGCCGCAGCTGCCGCAGGTGATGGGCGCGGCGCGCCCCGGGGCCGCGGCGAACAGGCGGTCCACCTCGTGCCACTGGGCGCGGCCCTTGCTGAAGCAGCGGCGCACGGTGAGTGCGCAGTGCGCGCGGTGACTCCTGGCACACGGTGAGTGCGCAGTGCGCGCGGTGACTCCTGGCACACGGTGAGTGCGCAGTGCGCGCGGTGACTCCTGGCACCGGTCGGCCAGGCGCAAAGCTGGTCAGCGGCGCACGAGCGGCGTGCACGCGCGCCTGCGCCGTGGGGTTCAAGCAGCGGCGGGCTGCGACGAAGAAGGGGGGGGCAAGGCCGGCGCCGCCCCTGTGGCCGCAGGGCAACGCCGTGAGCCAGGCGTGCGCGTCGTCACCGTCGTCGTTTTCGCCGTCGTCACCAGCGTCGGCGTCGTCGTCGTCGTCGTCGTCGTCGTCGTCGTCGTCGTCGTCGTCGTCGTCGTCGTCGTCGTCGTCGTCGGCGGCGGCGGCGGCGGCGGCGTCGTCGTCGGCGCCGCGAGCGGGTGCCGCTGCGCTGCGAGGCGCAGCGGGCCACGACGCGCGCGCACGCCTGGCTGCGGCGTGCGGGCAGGCTGCCCCGCGCACGTGCGGCGGGCGGCGCTCGAGCGGGCTGCGCGCGCTCGGCCGTCGCAGGGGCGCGGCGCGCGGCGCGCTCGAGCGGCGCCGAGCGCCTGCTGGGCACCGCCGCGGGCGTGCGCGACCCCGAAAAAAGCCAACGCGTGGACAAAAAGCAAGACGGTGGCTCTTCTCACCTCTCGGGCGCCAGGCGCCATCTCCGTGCCCCGCCTGGGACCGCCAGAGGCCGGCTCAGGATGAGAAGCCGGCCCCGGGACAAGGGCCGCGACTTCCGGGGGCCCCCGCGCTGCAGAGGAGCAAGACGTCCGATCCCTCGGAAGCTCGGCCAGCAGCGGGAGGCACGGAGCGCCCCAACCTGGAGCGCGAGGTCCTGGCGCGGCCGCCGCCAGGGCGGGGTCGGTGGGGGGGCGCGGGCCCCCACGAGCAGCGCGCAGCACGCTCACGACTGCGGGCGCGCGGGCGCTGCGGCAAGCCCAGGGTTCGGGGCGCCCCCGGACCCCCCGAGAGGCCATGCAGAGGGCCGAGGAGGCCCCCATCGGTTCTGCATGGTCTGGTTGCCGCCTGTCGCCCTTCTCTTCGCTCGAGCACGAGGCGCGAGGCCCCCACTCCCGAGGCGCGCCCCGAGCGGTCGCATCGACGCGCGAGGCAGCCACAGGATGGCCTGCGGCTGGCCCGAGGCAGGCGCAGGATGGCTTGAGACTGGCGCAGCACGCCCGCCACACGGCCGAAGACTGGGCCCAGACGAGCCCAAGCTGGCCTCAAGAACTGTCCATCCGGCAGCAAGCAAGATGGTTGCACAGCTGCTCGTCGGAAGACTTCGGTTGAACTTTCTCGTTGCCAAGAATGTAATGAGGAGCGCGAGGAGGCCTTTCAACTATTGTGGGGATGGCTACCTCCGAGGAATATCGATGCCGCGCTGGCACAATGGCGGGATTTGCCGCATGTGGCCAGACGACGCCCAGTCTAGCAACATGGACCCCCAATGTTGCACTAAATGACGGCAGCACGATCTAGCACCCAACAGCGGCCCAAGCCGCCAGCGGCGACTAAAGGCTAGAATCATACGATCAACCGAAGTCCTTGGAGTATGCTCTCTGGTCAAGTTCGCCTCGCCAACGCCCCCTTCAACCCTGGCCACCTGCTGCCGTCGTCACTCGACGCGGAGATCCCATGTGTGCATAACGCTTCCTGGCACTTCCCGCGGTGAGTGGCTGAGCGTGGAAGAATCTTAGGCTGCTCCTTCGCGGTGATCATGGGGGCTCTGAATAGCGGCTCCCCCCCCTTGGGGTGCTACAACGAGCGCATGGCCCGAGACATCCTCGCAATCTGCTCTGCAAGCAACGGAGTCGGAGCTGCGAAACCGAGCGCCTCGCTGGAGACATCCGCACAGTCAGGGCTCGAAGAGGCGAGTGGAACACTCTCTGGCGGTTCCACCCCTGGGGGTGCTAAAACGGGCGCCTCGCTCGAGATACCGCACAGTCTGCTGCGACACGCGAGACGGCCCCCCGATTGTGGGGCTGTCTCGCGTCTGGGGCTTCCCATTGGGTGCTCAAAACATGCGATGCCCGCTACGTCACTGTGATCAGGGGGTTCTGGATATGGGTGAGTCTGGGTCTGAGCGGGACTGGGCATGAGAGGCTGAGTGCGGGTGAGTCTGAGGGTGAGTGGGTCTGTATGACTGAGTGTATGCGTGTGGCAATGAGTCGGACTGAGTGTGACTGAGTCTGAGTATGAGTGTGAGTGGGTCTGAGCATAGTTCGGAGCGTGAGTGAAGAGAGGGGGAAGGAGGAGGCGAGAGTGAGTGAATGAGCGAGTGGGGAAGCGGAGGCGTCCCACGAATAACAACAACTGTTCCATACGCAAGATACGAAAAATAATGCACAATAGCAATATGCAAGCTGGTGTCCTTACCCTCTTCCCACAGGGCCAGCAAGGCGAACGCCGTGATCGGCTTGGTGATGGAGTAGCACCGGATGAGGGATCTGTCGGTCATTGGAGTTCCATGCTCGACATCCTGCTTGCCTGAGATGCGTGGACTCGTACCCTCCGCCATCAACTCATGCGCGCCACTCTCGCAACCAATCCCACGTATCTCTCCCTCTCGCTCTCTCTCTCTCGCTCTCTCTCCCTTTCTCTTTCAATATATATATATATATATATATGTATACATGTATATGTATCGTTATCGCTCTCTCTTTCTCTCTCTTTCGGTATTCCTCTGCCTCTCTCAAATGTATCATCAACGGCCGCTTTATATTATTATGCCAATATCTCTCTCTCTCTCTTGTTTCTCTCTCCCTCTCTCTCTCTCTCTTTATGTTCTCTCTCTCTCTCTCTTTCTCTCTAACACCTAATGGTGTACACGAGGTGCACCAACTCGGCCGCCTATGGGAGCTGGACCGCCCGCTGGGGCCTCCCGCTTCTGCTAGGCCACGCTCTCCGCGAAGGCCGCAGCGGGGGCACTGACCACACCACGGTCTTAACAACGTCCAAGCAAGGCGGGGTCGCCATTTTCGCTCAGTCCGCCCTGGTCGACACTGCCAGCGAAGACCTCACTATGGCGGCCTTCCGTAAAACCACGCGGTGGCACGAATGTTTCTGACCGTGTGCCACGACACCCTGCAAGCGGCGCGGCTTCGCCCTAAAGGCATCTACGTGGCCTCAATGTATGGCTACGCCAGCAGAGACAGTGCTGCTCTCTTCCGCAAAGCCGCGGCCGCGGCGGCCATGGTTGGCTCAGCCCCCTACCTCGTTTGCCTAGATGCCAACACGGACATTTACGCCAACGCGCTCCTGGTTCGCATGCGACAAAAGGAATGGCATAAACGTTGGCCAAGGGCTCCCCGACGCCACCGCGCCCACCTCTGCTGCTGGCATAGATTGGGACCGCCGCACAAAGTGCTCAGGTGCCACGCGGATCGACTACGACCTCACCAACACTGCGGGATGCCACCTGGTCGCGGACTTCGCCTTGCTCCGCAATCTCGTCGCCGAGCAGCACCTGGGGCCCCGAGTCACCCTCGACCTGCGCTGCCTTGATCAGATAGCCCCGCGCGTCCAACTCCGCGTGCCACATCGCACCCCGCCCGCTCACGTGCAGTGGGGGGAGGAACAAGCGGTGGGCGATATCATCGCCCACAGGCTCCAAACGGCCCTCACCGCCGCAGACCAGGCGAACGACGTGCAGGATATGTTCCGGGTCGCCAACAAAGCCAGTGACGCCTGCAACCTCACCATCCAACGTGACCAACCCCCCGCGGCGAATGAACGACGCCTGCGAGCCCCCACTCCCCACGGGGAAACGCCCGTTGTCCTCCCGACACCTGTCGCCCCCAGGGGATTTTCCCGAGCGCGGCGCCGCGGCCAAGCGCATTGAACGTCTCGACAAACTGCGCCGGCAACTCGCGGAACTTCGGTTCAACGCCACTCAAAACCCGCTCGACACTCGGCCCCCCGACCCGGACCGCCAACTGGCCCAGCCAGAAAACTTGGCGCGGGCCGCCGCCCGCGCCCAGGCCACGCGCGCGCGGCCCACCGCCCTCGCGGAGTTCCCGCGCCTTTGGAACGACCGAGCCCCGCCGCGTGGAGACCGCCTCAAATCCCTCATCACCGCGGTCGAAAAAGCACTCCGGCGCCGCGGCCAGAGCGCTGCGGCCGAGCGCGCGCAGAACTGGACCTCCCGCGCGCGACAAACGGACGGGGGGCAGGCCGCTGACTACGCCCATGCGGGGGACTACTCGCCAACTGCCTGCCTGCGCACCCCTGCGGGTGGCGCGCCTAGCGCGCCCGTCCACTGCGGAGGGCCCCACAATATCGATAACGGCGAGGCCGCTGCGGCGCTCAACGACGACGACGCCCTGAGCTCCGCGAGCAGATCAGGCAGCGACTCGCCCAGTGGCCCCCGCCACGCGAACACCATCCAGGCGGACACCAAAGCCATGCTCAAGCTCATGGCCGCCACGCGGGAACCAATCCTCGCGCGCTTCCGCCCCGCGGGCCGCAGCGATGACGAGGTCGCGCCGACGTGGGGGGACTTCCGCGCGGAATATGCGCGAGAATTCCACACCCCGGTCGCCGCTGCTCCGTTCACTCTCACGGACGATGCGCCCATTGACTTCATCCGCCGCCGCTCCGAGCGAAGGGCGGGCGGGCTGGGCGGCTGGGCCACCCGAGAGGCCTAAGTCCTGCCCGACGCCATCCTGCGGCTCTTCGCCCAGGCGCTGCAGGCCGCGCAGCAAACGGGCGACGCCCCCGAGCCCCTCCTCCACATGCCCAGCCTATGCCTCAGCAAAGGCAGGGGCGAACTCCCCGCCGACCAACGGCCCCTGTCCGTCATGTCGGTCTGGATGCACGCCCGGGAAGCCCCAGCCTGCCGCGGTCTCGGCGAGCGGCGAAAAGGCTGGGCCCACGCCGCCAGCTTCGGCGCCGCCCGCAGAGCGACCTTCGGAGACGTCAGCATTTCTTTGGCCCGCCGCGCAGGGCACGCGCGACGCCGCGCCCCCCCTCTGGCGGGCGCCGCCCTCGACGGGCAGATTTGCTTCGACTACCTCATGACCGACGTCTGCTTGTCGCTCGCCCTGCGCGCGGGGTGTCCCCCAGATATCGCCCGAGCGCGGCGCAACTTCCACTGCCGCCGTCAGCGATGCATTCGGATGATGGGGGCCCACTCCCCGCCGCTCCAGCGCGCGAACGGCCGCCTCCAGGGCAGTTCGTGGTCTCTTGGCGACCTCGAACTTCTCGTGCGCGCGTGGGCCAACCGCCCACACCGTTGCGCCCCGCGCTCCACCAGCACCACTTGTCGACGACGGCAACTCCACCACTGGCTCCGCGGAGGACCTGCGTCGGCCCCTAGAAGCCACCACCACCGTCGACCGTCTCTCGGGCCATAGGGCCACCCCGGCACGGTTGCGGGCTGGGCGCCGGGCCGGGAACTTCACGACCAGGTATCCCAACTCACCCTCTTAAAGCCCACCACCGCATCAAACTCGTTTGTAGCTGCATCAGCGCTAGAGCAGAGCCGATCGCAGGCGCTCTGAATCTCACCCGCGCCGCCGACGCCCGCGCGAGGCGAGCGCGCCGGCGCCTCCCTCGCAGTGGCCGGCCCACCATGGGCATGGGCGCCAACGGCCGCCAGGCTCGGCCCCTCGCCGCCAGCGTCTGCGCCGCGGGCGCAGACATTCAAGCCCCGAGCACCAAAACCAGAACGGCCCACGACAGGGGGCTTCTGGCTGCTGTCCGCCCCAAGGGCAACTAATGGGTTCATTCATGGGCCCCGCTGGCCGTCTGCGCCCCTGGTGGCGCCGTCGAGCTGGGCGCCGTCGCCCAATAAGAGGCCGCCCTGGCGGCCCGGCGACAAGCCCAGCGCGCCCCCGACCTGGGCCGCCAGGCCACCGAGCTCGTGGACAACGCCCAGACCGCGCGCGGCAGCGGGCCGATTGGGCGCCTCGCGCAGGCCCTGGGCCAGCGCTCATGGACCTGGCCCGACTTCGGCACCTTCTCCCACGATTGGGGCAGCCGCGCCAGCTGGATCCACGAGCCCAAAGGGGCCCCGCTACATCTGCTGCGGGCCTCTCAACGACGTGCCCCCCCGCGAAAACTCCAGCCTTCGCGCCGCGACCTCGGGCGCCCCCCCGGCATCGGGCAGGGCGTCGACGCGTTCGCCGCCCGCCGCGGCTTGCCCCAGCCAAGGGGGCCTGGAAACCGCCGCCAGGCAACTGGGCCCCCTTCTGCAACTGCCTCTCGGGCGGCGACCGCACCCGGCAACGCCGCGCGCGAGCAGACACGTCCGCGGGCCCCGGCCCTGCGCGCAAATGCTGCGACGCCGGCGTTAAAACCCAAGAGCACACCACCTGGCCATCTGGGGGTGCCCCTGCTGGGAACGCGAACGTCGACCCCTGACAACGATGATCGCGGAAGAGCAATGGAAGACCCCCCCCGCGGCGCGCGCGGCGCTGTGGCCTCGTCGACGAATGCGCCGCCACTCTCGACCTCCAGGCTGAGCTCCCCAGGGGCCCGATGCCCCAGCCCATCCCCCGACCTCCGACCGAAGGCCCCGACGGTGGCGCCTTCGCCGCCAGCGCCGACCCGGGCGGCAGTCAGCGGGTGCACGCGGGCACGGATGGGGCCTGCTCGCGCCGAGCCATCCCGCTACTGGCGCGGGCTGCCTCTGGCGTCTACTACGGCAGCGGCCACCGCCGAAACCGCTCTGCCCGCGTCACGCGCCAATCAATGGTCCCACCCAGAACGCGCAGCGGGCCGAAACTTTGGGCCTCCTCCGCCCGTCGCCACGGCCGAGCGGCCTGCCCACACCTTCGTCGACGACAGAGCCGTGGTCGACGGGTTCCAAGGGAGGGAGGGAGGGAGGGAGGGAGGAGGGAGGGAGGGAGGGAGGGAGGGAGCGGAGGAGGAGGAGGAGGAGGAGGAGGAGGAGGAGGAGGAGGAGGAGGAGGAGGCTGGACGGCCGCCCCCCGCCGCCCGATGGGGCGCAGAGCGACCGCGGGCCCGCGCCCATCGCTGCGCCCTTGCCGAGCCGGACCTCTCCAGGGTCGAAGAGGTCACCGGCCACCGCGGTGACGCGGGAATGAACCCAGACCCCCTCGCGTTGTGAAAAAATCACGACCGGAAGTTTTTCGCTATTTTCGGCCTCCGGGGGCCCTCACCGGGCCTCGGGACTGTCAAAAAACGACTCAGGATGCAAAACCGGTCCCGGGGAAGGAGTCCAGACCTCTGGGGGTCGACGCTGTGAAAAAATCACGACGTCGGGGGTCTGGGAACGAAGACCGCAGCAGCACAATTGCGGAGGGATTCGACCGCCAAGCCGACGACCTGGCCACCGACGCGGTCGGTTTCTCACCACCTGCCGTCTCCCCTGATCGACTCTGCTAAACAGCGCCACCGCTTCGCCGTTGTGCTGCATAGCGTCGCTGTCGCCATCTACGACAAGCGACACCGCACTCTCCCGCTCCCTCACAGACGAGCGGGCTACACCAACGCCCAGCTGGACAAGCTCGCACCCAACCCCATGCTCACCGCGGCGGCCGAGCCCAGCGGCCACCAGCGGCTCCCGGAGGATCTCGGCGACCTCTGGGAGGAGACCCAACACCTCGTCGACCCCGAAGGCTACGAATACGAGGACGCATGTGGCTTCGGCGGAGGGGACGACCTCGACGCTCCCACTTTCCACGCCCCGATGCCACCAGGCCTCCGTCGGCCCCGCCAGCCACTGGCCCAGGGGTGCCGACCACAGTCGTGCCCTCTGGTGCGCCTGGCACAGCGCCTCCCAACAGCGCTGCCATTGCTTTCCCACGCCGCGGTGACGGCCCAGGAGCTCCGACCGCAGTCGCGCCCACTGGCGAGCCTGCCCCGCCACCGCCCCACCGCGCCACCGCCGCCGACATGCACCGCGGCTCAGGTCCCGATGACGAGGAGGACGGACCCCGTCGGCCTCGGGTGCGGCAGGAACGACGAGGACACCAGCTCCCCGTCGCCCCAGGCCACGGTTCCGCGCCCCGGTCGCTGAGTCCGACTCACGGACCAGGGCGCAACCGCTTCCGCCAGCTCCATGCTCCAGCTCGCCGCCCCGTGGCGGTCGGGCGCTCGCCGCACTGCGGCCCGAGCGCGAGCGCCGCGCCGACCTGGCCCAGTGGGCCTCCCACTGCGGCAGCCGCTGCCGGCAGCGCTGCTGGCCTGGCCCCCTCTGCCGCCCGCCCGAGCCGCGCCGCGTTGGCCAGGCGCTCCCCTGTCGCTCGACGGGCCCCCGCGGCGACGCCAGCCGCCGCCCCCAAGCCCGAAGCAGTGCCCACGCGAGGCGCCGACCGCCGCGCGGACCTCGCCGCGCACCTCGCCGGCAGGGCTGCTGCTGCCCGCCCGCCCCATGCTCCGCGCCCTGCCCCGGGGTCGAACCGCAGAGCTCTGGGCGTCATGCGACCGCCTGCGTCTTCAGCACACCGCGCTTGCGCGCCAGGGTTCGCTCCTTGACCTCCCAGCAGGGCCTGCTGATGCAACGCCCTCACCGCGCTCAAGCCGCCCTCGCCTCCCTCCGGCCCTCGCCTCCGCCCGACGGAGCGCCACCCGCCCCGGCGCTGCATGACTGTCTCGGTGCCACGCATGCCCGCACAGGGCCTCCACCACGGCCGCAGGTCCGCTGGTCGCCAGCCCGATTGTCCGCGCGGCCTCGCGTCGTCGGGGCCTGGCTGCGGCGGCGTGGGGCGCCTCGTCGTTCGCATACCGCGCAGCGGTCAAGCCCTTGCCCCCAGGCCGCCAACCGGGGCTTCGCCGACCTGGGCCTTTTTCCCACGCGGGGCGCGGAGAGACTTGGCGTTTCGCCTGCTCGGCAC